TTGGGGAATTTTCAAAGAACATTCAGTAGTGTCACAAAGCCCAAATAAGGGTCTGTTGTCTTCTGAGCTGTTGGAATATGTGCTTGAGCTGCAGTTTTCCCTGGTTTTTTGTAGTTTGGAGGGTTTTTTGGTTTTTTTTGTTTTGTTTTGTTTTATTTTAGTTTTTGTGATTTTTTTTCTCTATGCTTATACTGTAAAGTATGCAGTGGCAAAAATAATGACTGCAACCTTTCTAGACACAAAAAAGGAGAACATATATATATCAGACCTTTTGAGCTCTTCTCGCTATGAAACTCTGGTTTGTTGGTTTATTTGGTTGTAGGGAGTTTAGCTATTCTTTGTGTGAGGACCAGGGCTGAGGTGGGTCACAGCCAACACCCACCTAAATGTAGCACATGGCACATAATCCAAAAATCCTGAGACTCAGCCATGATCCTCTGAATTCAGAAGGGAATATATTGTGATGCAGTGGTGATGATGATGTAGTGGTTAAATAATAATATATCTGAAAAACACATGGTGAAGAATTAAAGTTACTTTTAAAAGTTTCCATAATTGACTGGAAACCAGTAATAAATGGTTTTGTTTTTAAAGGCTGGTTATAGGAGACACGTGTTTGGAAATCAGATCAGGCTGGTTTTCACAACCCTATTCTTCCAATCTTTCTTCAAAATTAGTGCAAGATATGCATTGCTCCTTCCTGGACTTTATCTTTAGACCTTTCAATTTCTTTGACAGCATCTCTGTTGAGAATTTATTTTTCATTAGCTCTTAGGTCTCCAGCCGTCATATACTGTCCTAGTCTTTTGGGGCATATTGATCTTTATTCCAGCATTGTCTGAATCACTTGAAGGCTTATCACCAGGATTTCTTTGAGGGACTGTATCTAGTTTAATATCTGAAGGTTAGACAACACACAATAGACCCTTTCATCTCATCAGCCTAGTCCTAAACCAATACTATCACTGTTTTCCTCTTATATTTGTAGAATTTCATTAACTTGGTTGTGTAGGAGACAAACTTTAAAACAGTCACTAAATGCAGTTTGTTCACTGTTCTTCAGCTTCTCATCACTATTTTGATAAAAGGCATGAGTATTGCAAAAATTAATAAGGTCAAAATGGAATATTCATTAACATAACACTACCCATTTGATCTGACACACAGACATCTTTTTCACCAGATTTTTGAGTGTTTTTTTAAAGTACCAAATACAAAACACCTCTTTCTCCATTTAGCAGTCAGCATTAATGGAATATGTGTTTTGTTTTTTAAGTGATTCTGCTATAAAAACAAAGACCCGTGTGGGAAATCCTGATAGAGTCACCTTGCCTTAGATTGTATAATGCACTTAACTAACTTGGAATTAAAAATAAAAACAAGTGTGTGAGGTTTAGGCTTTAGTGGCTTGCTTTATCTGGAGGAAAGTACTGCATGGCTCTGTGATGACTATGTCATTACTCTCAGGACAAAATCTGCCCAATGAACTGATTAGCAAGAGAAAAAAGCAGAGGTGGAAAGGTGCAGAACGGCGATGAGCTAGTTTTGCAGCTTAGCTCCTATGTCACAAAAATATTTTAATGTTTGTTCCAGTTTAGTTCTCATGGAACAGAGAACAGCGTAAACCCTACTCACTCTGTAATATCTTGTGCTATTTGCCAGGTTTCCTTTTTAAAGAGCCTCAAATAAAATATGATTCCCCATTATTATTTTAGAAGAATTAATGCACACTTCTGCTGACGGTGTGCTTTGATCCATGGATCCCCAGCTGATCGATGAGATACCTCTCTACCTTTCTCAAAACCACATTTCCCAGATGGTCAGAGGATTGGTAGGAATTCATATACAACAATTTAACAAAACAATGCTTTTAGGTTCCTTGCCTGATACATACATAGGTCAGTCTTCTTGTTGATGTGAACTGCTCCCACTCTTTTAATATGTATTTATTAAGACCAGAAATTAACATAAACTTACATAATTCTTTTAAAGTCACCAATCAATAATTTATTCCTCTGTTCAATGTCATCTACACTCTATCTCTGGATCTGTTTGGTTTTTTCCAGGTCAAAGATATTTCAAAATTGACATGACATTTGGAGGCAAACAAAAAAAGATTTGCAGTTGTGAGCCTTGTCTCAATCCATATCCTCCTTTGCATCTTCCTCATTCGCTTCCCTTCCTCTTTTCCAAGTCTGTTTCTGACTGGACAGGGCTTTTCTAATTCTGACTTTACACAAATTTTGTATTGGTTTATTACCTTTTTTTACATGTTGCTATGAGAACTTATATAATTATTTTTCCACCCTAGTGTTTCTACATAAATACATATATTTCATGTCTGTTTCCAAAGTTGATTTTTCTTTTGCTGGATTGAATATGTCAATCTCTCCCAGCATCCTTGGCAAAAAAAATCTCTGTTCCTTAGTACATATAATATTTCTTTCTAAATCTCTTGAGACTTGAGGTCAATTTTCTTGAGCATGAGTGACCAGAAAATGCCTCAGAAATAATTTAAAATATTTTTCCTACCTGTACTAGTCTGTGAAGAATCAGAATCATATTTATTCATTTTTATATATGTATAAGAATATGTAGCATCAAAAGATAAACATGGACTGCATGTTTTATACTTCAAAACCAGCAGTTTGCATGTACATAGGAGAAGAAGTGGGAACACATGACTATCAGGACAAAGCAGTACTGTCCAATTTTAGTAGTACTTGTCTGAAATAATAAAGGTACTAATCTTTTCCTGCTGAGAGTAGCACTGTATGAGCTAATGAGCAATAGGAATAAGGAAAATTCTGATGCAGGCTCATCACTACCTGATGGAAAAGATCTGCTTTTATCCCCAAAAGACAGGCTTTGTAATGTCAGTAGTTACTCTTGCACTGTAATCCCGAAAAGGGAGTCCATAAGAGATGGCTTTGAAATGAGATCCCTTGCCTCATTGTTGTGAGCTACTGTGATACCTGCCCTGACTGTAAAATACTTTGCAAAGCCTTAGAACTTTAAAAACCTGCCTTCTTAATGTTGATAGAAACTGTTTTGACACAATTAAGAAACTCTCCCACTAAGATTATGGAAAATATAAGAAATATTTCCATGTGGGAAAACAATCCTTTAATGCTAGGAAAGTCCAGGCTCTGAAACTGCTTTGATGCATGTGACTGTCACACAGATGAGTTTCCTGGGGCAGAGAGAGTGTGGGGGAAAGGGTAAATCTAGCATGCTCTCCATTTTTCCAGTAATCATTTGTTGCTGAATTTGTCACAATCCCCTATTTCTAGTAATGATGCTTTTCTGCCTAAGGTTGCTATGTGCATAATGACTCACAGGTTGCTGATATAATACTTGAGACTGATATTTTGTAGAAAGATCCAACCAACCAATAAAATCCTTTCACTTGATTTATTAGATCAAATTGTAAATGTTTTAGTTATTCCCACCATCAGAAAAGACGTGCCAACAGCTAGCACTTTCTCACTAAGGTGTGAGATAAACATTAAGTAGGAGTTTGATCTTGCTTGTTCACCATCTTCCCCACATACCTAAAGCTAAGGAAGAAGACAATCCAGAATCTTGATTTGGTCAACTTTGAAATGGTTATAGTTGGACTAGATGATCATGTAGGGCCTTTCCTACTGAACTATTCTGTTCTATTCTGCTCTGTTGTTCTTTCTGCTATTGTATTCTAACTCATACATGGAAGGCACATACCTTAGGAGGTATGACATGCCCTCCACAAAGTGCTATCTCATAGTCCCAAGATTACAAAAGGGCAGGTAGACAACTATAGTAAGCTGGATATTTCAGCTTTAAACACTTCACATCATGATAAATAGATTCCATGCTACGTAATTGGACAGAGTAATGTATATTTTCAGTTCTTATTTTCAACTGCTTTTCATTTTTATTTTTGCAATAGCAAGAACAGGAAATGTAAAAATGAAGGAAGTGGAAAATTGGTTTGTTGGAATTCTGTATTAGATTCTTTGTGTGGAATTTTAAACAAAAAATCATTAGGAACTTCATGCCATTGCTATAGTAAGTTTAACACTTTGTTCATGCTTTGGACACTTAGGGAAAAACGTTTTAAAAATTTCTGCCCAAAACATAAACAAAACAATTGTGAATAATTACTTACTGCTTAATTACTTATAATAAAATATTATAATGTGTCTGAGGCAAAACAATAGCCAAAGAACATCATCATCAGTTGCCTTCTGAGCTCTCATTACACTACATATAAAGCATTCTTAATTATGCAAAATCTTACTAAGAATCCCTTAAGAAAAATTTGCTGGCAGAAACAAGTTGTTTATGCTTTATATCCCCCTTTCTTAGGTAAAACAGTTATTTATTTTAATTTAGCATTAATTACTTTGCTTATGTTCTGAGTTCAATTTCTCTTCTGAGAAATGTGCTTATAAACAAAAGTAATCTTTCTGGTTTTACCTTTGTCACTGATTATTAGGTCTGCTTTGCCCAAAACAATAAAGGCTAGAAGTAACATTTCTGTATTATTTATTTTATTTTATTTTATAATGTATTTTAAAATAAGGAAAATTGAAAATTATGCCTCAGGTGGTGGGAAAATCATGGCTCCCTAAACAATAGGCTGTGTCAGAAACCTGACTTCCTGAGTTCTAACTTACTCAGTCACTGGTTATAAACCACAAGGGCTGGAGGTTGTCTGAGTTTAAGACTATTTAAGAGGTGGAAATTCTAAAATGAGTTACCTTCCTTTGTTTCAACCAATCCCTTTCCACCAATAAGGAACAAATACAAGTAGACATAAGTGAAAAAATAAGAGTTCACTAACAAGCAAAAGAGCAATGGGTAAAAAATCCAATATGTTTGGTTTATATCATTAGATACAAAATTGCTAAATCTCACAAACACAGAGAAAAAGAGACCCAAAATGGCTTAGCAACCCTTTCCACAGACAAGATGGGGTTTCACAGAGGAGCACATGGCTTGAAAGACAAAATGAAGTGTCAACCTCCCCTGTCCCTTGTTTCCTTATGTCTCTGGCAGCTGGAGCTCCATGGAGAAAGGCAGCTGGTGGTATTCTCTGGATCAAGAGCTAGAACTCATGGAGGTCCCATGTCAGGAGGTGGCAGATGGCTGCAGTGCCTCAGACACCATGTTTTTAACGCTTTTTCCAGGGGCTGTGGTGGGCTGTGGTCCTCAGGGGTCAGGGTTGGGACCAGCGCTGTTTGCCATCTTTGCTGGTGACATGGACAGTGGGATTTCTTGTACCCTCAGTGGGCTCACTGACAGCACCAAGCCCTGTGGCACAGTCCTTTCGCTGGAGAGAAGGGAAGGGATGTCATCTTGAGGGACCTTGACAGGCTTGAGAGAGGGGACTGACCAAACCTCATGGAGTTCAACAACACCCAGAGCGGGTCCTGCACCTGGGTTGGGGAAATCCCAAGCACAAGTACAGGCTGAGCAGAGAGTGGATCAAGAGCAGCTTTGAGGAGAAAAACATAGGAGTACTGGTAGAGAAGAAGCTCAGCATGAACTGTCAATGTGCCCTTGCAGACCGGAAAGACAAATGTGGCCTGCGCTGCATCAAAATCAGCATGGCCCGCAGGGCACTTCCTCTTCTCCACTCTCATGAGTCCCCACCTGGGGTGCTGTGCCCAGCTCTGGGGATCTCAGCATAGGAGGGATGTGAACCTGGGGAAACAAGTCCAGAGGAGAGCCACAACGATGATAAGCGGGCTGGAGAACTTCTCCTATGAAGACAGACTAAGAGAATTTGGGTTATTCGGCCTGGAAAAGAGAAGGCTCTGAGAGACCCTGTAGCAGCCTTTCCATACCTAAAAGGGACCTATAGAGAGCTGGAGAGGGACTTTTCAGAAGGACAGGGAGTGACAGGACTAAGCAGAGTATCTTCAAACTTAATGAGGGTGGCTTTGCGTTAGATATTAGAAAGAAATTGTTTAATGTGAGGGTGGTGGGACACTGTGGATGTTGTGGATACCCCATCCCTGGAAGTGTTCAAGGACAGGTTGTATAGGACCCTGAGCCCCTGATGTAGTGGAAGGTGTCCCTGTCCATGGCAGGGAGGTTGGAACTAAATTATTTTTAAGATACTTTTTAACCTAAAACATTCTATGGTTCTGAGATTCTATGAAAGGCTGCCAAGTTCAGTCCACTGTTGATAAAAAAAAGAAAGGCACTTCCCTGTCTTTTATGGTTTTGCTAGTTGTAGTCTCTTATCTTCTGGCACCTGCCTTCCACAAATGCATTATACATCTAATGAAGATTTTGGTTTATTTTTCTCACCTTCTGTCCCCTTCATTACACATGTTATCACCTCCCTAACTTCTACCTTATTTGCAGCTCTTCTTATTTTTCCTCTCTCTGAGTTTTCCTATCCTCTTCCTCTGCAATTTCCTATTTAACCCTTCATAATCTTCATGCATTTGAGCACCCTCTTCCATTCATTCCATTAAGTCCATTCATTCTGTTAGTTTTGCAAGCATGACTTTCTTCCTCTCAAGACCCATATTCTTCTTATTGGACCTTTTAAAACACACCTTACAAACAGGGGGGGAATCATCTTCACTTTTTTATTATTTGAAATTAAAATTCCTAGAAATGTTGTGGCAAACTGACTTAAACCATACTAAAATCAAATTTTTAAATGGTGTCACCTGCACTTCCAGGATATTGTTCATGAAGCTCATTTTAGGAAACTTCCTGCTACAAAATTCAACCTACATTTACCAAGTCTGACAAAAACAGAACCCTGTATTTTGTTTAGAATTGCTTCAGGAAGCTCTGATCCTCAGAGAAAACATGGGCAATTTTCAAAGTGTTGCAAATTGGATTTCCAAGAGCAAGATAAATGAAGTGGTAAAAACCCAAGAACATAAAGACAAATATCCAATTTCTTTCTTACAATATTTCTATAAAGTCATAGTCTTCACTACAAGGAAAGTACTTGATGTATGTTTCTCTTAAACTATCATATAAAGTTTGATATTGTTGTATAAGTAGTTTTATGTCTCTACTTCGTCTCCAGAACTGAGTGATTTTGTTAGATTGTATTTAAGTAGTTGTCCTAAGAAGATACTGTAGTAAATTTACATCTGACTTTTCCCAGCACTCAGGAAATATAACTTTTCAAGGAAGATATGTTAAAAAATCTCCCAGCTAATTTTAAGGATATTACTTAATTTAGCTTTAAGTTTGCTGATTTAGCAAGTGTTTATTTCTGGAAAACACACTAAAAGAAATAAAAACCTCTCATCATTCCCTAAACATCTGACATATTATTTAAGTAGATAATTTCTCTTTAGTAAACTATCTTCTTCCATCACTATTCTTTCAACACTTGGCTGCAATTTATGCCCAAGAGACAAAAGCCCCTCAGACTGGCATTTCTTCACTGCAAACGCAGTGTTCCAAAGTGGTAGTGAAAAATGTATGGAACTTATGAAAATCTTATCTACCCTCTTTCTCTTTGACGATTTTAATATCTGATTCAGCAGGAATGAAGACTTCACTTTCTTTCTTGCATTGCAAGACTTTTTTTTTTTTCAAATTTTCTTTATTTAATTCTTTTTGAAAAGAGGTCATCTAACTGATTTCCCATCCAGCGTCCTCATACTGAGTAGGACATGGTAATTAATTACCATAATTAAGCTACCTTTGGCAGATGTTAACTCGCCTGCTTTGGTGATACAACACACGAGAGAATCATTACTCTATCCAGAAGACCTATGCAACCTCTCATGAACTTTAGAAACAGAAACCATTTCCTAATATCCAATCTCCTTATTTTCATATAAAATTGAGTTGTTTTTTTCCCTTCCATTTCCATACAGCATGTCATAACTGCTCTCTCCAGGACTTTTTTTTTCCATACAGAAAGGATACTGTCAGTTTTCCTACAAATAAGGCAATAAAGGTGTGGAATCATGATAAAATGAAAGGCAAGGCTTTATCCTAGAAGGATTACAGCTAATAAAGCCAAGAAAATAATTTAGTTCATGGAAACTGTTTTATAAAATCTGTGGAAAAGGATCCATCACCTAGATATTTATGTATTATATATTATAAATTATATATTCTGTATGATATAATTTACATATTTCTTCATCTGGGATGGGGCAACCCTGCACATACATATGTATATACTGGGGAATGAGAGGCTGGAAAGCAGTACCACAGAAAGGGTCCTGGGGGTCCTGGTCAATGGCAAGTTGAACATGAGCCAGCAGTGCCCTGGCAGCCAGGAGAGCCAAGCTTGTCCTGGGGTGCATCAGGCACAGCATCACCAGCTGAGCAAGGGAAGGGATTGTACTGCACTGCTCTGAGCTGGGGCGGCCTCACCTGCAGTGCTGGGGGCGGTTCTGGGTGCAACAACATAAAAAAGAGATTAAGCCACAAGAGTGTCCAAAGGAGGGCAACAAAGATGGGGAAGAGTCCAGAGGGTCCTCTGGTAGGAGGAGGGAGGCTCAAGTCACTTGACCTGTTCAGTCTGGGGAAGAGGAGAAGGAAGACCTCATTGCAGTCTACAACTTGTTGTTGAGGCAAGGAGGAGGGGAAGACACTGATCGTTCTGTGGTGAGCAGTGACGGGACTCAAGGGAATGGCCTAAAGCTGTGTCAGAGAAGGTTTAGATTGGATATTAGGAAAATTTTCTTCACCCTGAAGGTGCATTCACTGGGGTATGCTCCCCAGTGAAATGGTTGCAGCACCAAGCCTGACAGAATTTAAGGAAGCATCTGGACAATGCTCTCAGGAACAAAGTGTGACTGATGGGGATGGTGCTGTGCAGGATAGGGAGCTAGAGTCAATGATCCTTGTGAGTCCCTTCAAACTCAGCTTATTCTGTGATTCTGTGATCATTAGATACTCTCTAAGCACCTAGTATGATAGCTTGAGTAGGATATTTATCTGCTGCTGTAGTATTAATTAAAGGTAAGTGTTTGTACATATTTTTAGCACAAATGTTCTGTGTTCATCTTTAAGGCGATCTAAAGTAGAATACTTACCTGCTGCCACTGCTAACACTTGCAGGCTGTGTTTCCAACATGTTATAGGTTAGACCAGGCTGCCAGCCATCTGCATAAATGGAATTTCCAGTAAATAAGTCACCTGAAAACAGGATGTCAGTGTTGGCCCATGAGCTGTAGCCTGTATTGTGAGAATGGGAGTAGACATCAAACTTTCCCAATCTGCTCCTTGCTCTCTGAGCACAAAAGCGTAGCATTCTCTGAGCCATTGCTCTGCCCTCAGTCAAGCCCACTGGGAAGAAGTTCATGGACACTGTAACACTTCAGCCTCACAGTGATTTTGTGCAGCCATGCTGTATGTCTGTGGTGTCCACATGCCCTCTGAACAGAGAGAAGCTGTGAGAAAAGCAGAGAAAAGAATGATGAAAACAATTCTTATCTCATTTGCTGCTCCTGTTGTTTTGTGCATGTGGAATGTATTGGAAGATTGTTTACCTGAAGGAATCTGGTAACTGGATTCTGCTGAGGTTTTTTTTTTTGTTTCCTTGGCCATTCACTCAAAGCTGTGTCCTGCCTGTCGGGAGACAGTCACAAGTTTTCTTTAGTATTCTTTAGTATTCTTAGTAGTTACTATGATAGTATAGCATAGCATAGCATAGCATAGCATAGCATAGCATAGCGTAGCATAGTATCTCTCTTTAATACAATTGTATTGTAATACAGTATAGTTTTAATAAAGTGAATGTCCAGCATTCTGAAGCCTTGAAGTCAGATGCCAATCATTCCCAGATTTGGGGTCACCTGATTTTACTATATATGTCCACTTGTCTTTCAGGATCAGAAAAGGTCTCCTATCCACCAGACTCCAGTGTGACCCCAAAATCCACACCTAAACTGAATAGTATGGAATTTTGCATTCAAGCTTTAGCCTTCAACATATTCTAAGAAATCAGTTTTGGTCACCATCTCTCCTTGTCCCCAGATGCAGGTGGTAAATTGTACTAAAGTCTTGCACTGTTACTCCTCATGGAGCTTTCTCTTAGTGACATCTTTCTCTTAGTCCACTGCAAGACAGATGTATAAAATTTAACTTGCACAAAATTGTGACTTTATGCTTTGTCCACAAAAGAAATTATTTTTTGCCTCTATTTCTCCACCTACAAAATCTGAAGTTGTGAATGTTGTTTTAGAAATTGAAATATCTAGGACCAGGAAGCACTTGAATTTTATTCACTTTTCCTACTTTCATTTCCATATATCATAATCTTATTAATAATCACCAAGGTTGAACCAATCTGTTCTGTAAGTAACTTTGGTTTCTTAATATTTGCACCTTGGAAAGTCCCACTTGAAGTTCAAGAAATATATGGAAATATTTTTGGAAGACAGGGTTATTCTGAGAAAGAAATTTATATTACATTTAGATGATGATGTTCATATGTTTCAGCTCTCAGAAATAATACATTTATGGCTTCTTCTGTGGTTTCCCACTTCCCACCTATCTCTTATGTCAGGATGCTTTTTTTCAGTGTTTGAATTGTAATCTATTGTTCAGCTCTGTAAATTTCTGGAGATATATCCAAATAATGTGAATTCTAGTGCAAAAGAGAATGTGATGGAATTGCCCATGCCTACGTTATTTCTTCATAATGGTGTTGCCTTAATGCTGTACAAATTCTTGGGCTTCATATACCATTAATTTCAGCTTACTTTCTTAATCGAAATTCTAAGAGGCAGAAGGCCTTAAAGAGAAAATTATCCCTGAAAAACAGAAGAAATGTTACTACATCTTCCCTTACCCTCAGGCATGTAGGCACCAAAGCTTTTTTTAAATTTTTGAAGCACTTATCTAATGTAAAAAATGTGAGGTTTTTTTTTTTTTTCCCCCAAATACATTTTAGAAGAGAGCAGTGAATGAACAGGTTTTAGGGGGTTTGCTTTAATAAATGTAATGGGTGATGAGCTGCTGCCCTCAGATATCACCTCTGATCAAGCCCTGTGTACTGTACATAGGAAGGTGAATTGACATAATTCTTAGAACAGCATTTTTCAGCAAATTGTCCTGTCAAATAGAGAAATTTTATTCAAGCCTGCAAATGTGATAAGCCTGACCCTCCAGGTCTGCTTTGAAAGGTCATTTTGATTAGTATAGGCAAAATGGGAAAGTGCCTGGAGTCTTTTGGCTTTTAATAGCCAAATGGCCTGATTTTTATGAAGTGTAAAGCATGTACAGATTCTGCTGAACTCAATGAGAGCAGCAGGCATCACAGATTCCTGACAATCAGTCCAGGCATTTCCTCACTTCATTCTCTCTTCTCCTCTCCCTCACTGCTCTTTTCTCATTATGAAAACATAATGGCCTTTTGGACAAAGAACATCCATTCATGACCCAGTAAATTATTTTAATTTCAATGTTGTATACTGAGAAATCTGTTAAAGTTTCCTTTCAATTTGTCAGAATTGAATTATGTTTCAGGCAACTACCAGAGGCCCCTTACAGCATCAACCACAGCCAACTGGCAGTGGGACCAAAACTATTTAACAGCACAGAGTTCTGTGTGGTTAAATTTATTATGAGTTATCCATAAAGGATCCACACTCAGACCTATGAAACTAAGGTTCTCAGCTCTGTTCTAAAATTATACAGGACTGTCATCAAATTAACTTTCTCTGGAAACAAAAATTGCACTGTTCTAATATTCAGCCAAGTTGTTTCTCAAGAAGGATGAGAGGATGGAAACAAGGGCTTAGAAAGAAGAAAAAAAAATTGCAGCTGTCTTTATTGCAAACACTTTTTAAACAATGTAAATTTAAAATTAACTGTTATTATTATAGATACAAAAGAGCATCACAAATTTAGAACAAATTTTACTCAACCAGAACATTTTTAGTCACAGAAAAGTAGCAGTTTAATTAGTCTAGGACAGTTAAGCATTGTATGCCATTTCTATAGAAATACATGTATATTTACTCATACTTGAGAGTAGAAAATCTATCCGTGTAAATTTTAAATATATTTTTATACTCTACACACCCAACATTTTTATCCAAAGATGCCCAGATGTACACTAAGGTTCATATTTTCCAACATCATCCATTGAAATAATTTTACCAATATAAAACTGCATGTAGTCATAGCAGAGACTTTTGAGTTCAAAAACATTTCTTGCCATTTTAAAAAACCATTCAACTTCTCTGTGCAATGGATTTATGACTTGCATTTATTAATTTGATTCTTTCATCCACCTCTCTATTCCCTTTATATTAATTTCATATTTCAGATACACTCTGTCAGAATGCAAAAATTAATTTTAAAAATTATTTAAGAGCAAATGATTGAATAAGAAGACAATGTGACAGAAAATAATTGGACATATATAGATATTTTAGGCATGAGACTAGCCCAGAGCAATAAAAGGTCAGTCTAGTTTACATTTCTTCCAAAGAATAATAGGAATGAAGGACAGCAGTGGCAAAGAAGGACAGCCAAGAAAAACACACTGCACTGGGAGCTGTGATTATATATTTTTCTCAGACTCATTGATGATGCTTTTAGGAATATTTCCATTTTATCAAGACTTCCAAATCACCTACAGCAGAATGGAATAGGAGACAAACTGCATCAACACTTTGGCTTGAGGTGGTCTACTAGGGAATTTCTCAGAGAAGGGCTACCACAGGACTTTTTAACTTCACTGAGAAGAGGGGGGTTTAGTATGTCTTGATATTAAGTAATTTCAGTGCTGACAAGTATCAGTGTAAGAAGAGTAGTTCAGAAATTGGATCAGATAGTAAATAGTTTAAAGGACAATGCACTATTATGTACGATAACAGCTCTAAAAACCCTCACTAAACTGGGCCTTCACTTAAAATGGCAGACTAATCTAAAAATCTGTAATCTGTCAAAGGTATACAGTGTGACTATGATTTTTTTATGAAAACCACTTTCAGATCAGACTCGAGAGCAGATAAAAATGAACCGATGTGGAGAGAAGACACATGACAGACAATAAAAACCTATTTAGTTGAGTAGAAATGGAAACATTCATCATATTATTGAGCATGCATTGTTGCAAAAAACGAAAGAAAATCTTACAGATTTAAAGATGACAAGATAGAGTTTATTGTATAAAGAAAAGTGAAAAACAAAACAAACCAAAAAACCAACTATCCAGTGTATATTTTCTGTCTCTTACAATGTAATCAACCAAAAGGTTGTAGAAGAATATCATATTCATGGGGTTGAAGGTATCTTCTCAGTTTTTTTGGGTACTATAAGAACAAGGGACAGATGAAGAGGAAAATAAGAGCTTTCTAGAGTGAGATAAAAAATTCTTGACATCATGAGAAAGTCAACTATTCCAAGGTCTGTTTAAGCAGGGTCAGCTGCAGCAGGTTGCCTGAGACAGTATACAGCCTTTGAACATGTCCACAGGTGGAGATTCCATGACTTTTCTGGCCAACCTGTTCTACTATTCAACCACCCTCACAGTAAAAGGAGGTTTTCTTGTGGTTAGATGAAATTAACAATGCTGTTAATCAAGAATCTGAATTAGGACAAGTTCTTCTTGTGGGAGCAGGTTTAATGTCCAAAGGGAAAAAAACTGAGAGCACCCATGATATTCTATCCACAGAGGTCCAGTTTTATAGATTTAGATTACTCTTAATAAGAACACAACAGCAACACAGTTTTGTAGGATGAAGGAAAAGAGAACAAACTTGTGTTTGTGTATTATTGTCTCCTTCCAAGAAGACTGCTAATCTACATTTGGTTGAATTATTTTATAATTTTTGTGCCTCTTTGAAGAATGCACTGATTTCCTGTGAGTTAAGGGAATTCTGTCTCCAGTTCCTCTTACACATGTTATAGAGGACATGCTACTTGTATTTGAAAGGGTTCAGACAGTTTAGGAAGTAAGGCCAAAAGGGCCTGCTTACATTAGGTCAAAATAAGTGTATCATATAAGATAAGGAACAGGAAAGAGCAGACAGACCAAAAGTCTGCAGCATCAAACTACCTTGCAGTATTTTGAAGACAATTAATTAGGTAAGTTTTGCTGTATGAGGCAGGGGAAATCAGACACAGTACCAGTCTATTTGGGAACCTTGTCAATCTCCTCAGAGAGAAAATTTCTCCATACGTCAAATCCAGCAATGAGCAAAGGTTTGTGACCAAGACACGTCAGCCAGTCTGAGAGGTCTTTTTATACTATGTAATTTAACATTTTTGATAGTCATGAGGAATATGACAAATCACACAGGAAAATATATTAAAAATATTAAACATATGACAAGAAAAATCTTTCCCTGAGTCCCCTGATGGACTGAGAAGGAAATGCTAGAAGGAAATTTGACATGTTGACAACTCACAGACATAAGACTAACTTATATCTTTGTAATTGTGTCCTAGGAAGGCTGGAGCTGATAATACTGTGTGACTAAATAGTGGGAGTCCAGACAGTTTCACACATTATTCTCCCTCCTCTTTGAGTTTCAGAGGTTGAAGATGTATCTGGCTGGCTCTAATGTTTACAGTGTATGCATTGGGCCTTGTTTGAGCTGTCAAGGGAGTCT